CAACGCACAAGGACGCATGCTCAAGTTTCGATCCTCTGTCACTGAACAAAATACCAAGGCACTGAGACACGTGCTCATGTGCCATCAGATTCACAAATCCTACAAAAACTTGCTAAGAGTATACTCACACTAGGCCCTCAAAATCTCGAAGTAGCAAAATCATTGGCTGGATCGAGTCCTCACTTTACAAGGACTCCATCTAGCCACTGATTTTTGTATTAAGCAATTTTCAGGGCTTAGTGCGAGTATACCCTTTTTTGCGTTCCTCTTCATTCCTCGTCACATGCATTCCACTGGATTGCGTCTGCTGCTGCATATCCAGCCTTTTGTCCTCCTCCACTCTTTCCAATCTGATCCAAGCAGATATTCAAGCGGGTGGAGTCTGTCGTGTGGGTGATTTCTGGTCCGGACGAAGCGCAAGTTGCACGTTCTACAGTCAAACAAACATCTGGCCCTCAGCAGGACAGATTTACACGAAAAGGTTGCTTAAACCAGCAGTGCCCAGTATCGATGCCAGGACACGGCGCACCCTGCACGCCGATTTCTAACAAACTGCCAGCGAACACTTTTGTTTACCTATTGGCTGGTGCCTCCCGCCATTGTGGTTCGGTAGCCTGAAGCCCAAATGCCTCTACATAAAAGGGGAAGCGCCCTGGGCAAGTGCTGGGCCAGTTACTGGTGGTTTTAAGGTGCTTTTCAGTGCAGTGACCACAGAGAATGGGTCGCCAACCCCAGGGCTACCCATTCAGCATCGACATCCAAATCCCATTCCACAATCTCTGCCGACAAATCCCAACGCATTAGTCAAAAACATTCTCCAAGCGAAATTGTCAAGCCTAGCCTCACAGCTACCCGTAGGGAGGGCTTCCCTCTGTTCCATGACTCTGTGTTAAATTAGGGCATCCCCACACACTGCCCACGAGGGTGGCAAAATACGTTCATTTGAATTTATATCAAGCTGTTCATTTCCTGTGGGAAAATGCACTCGTTTCATTTTTCCTTAGTTGTTAGTGGAAAAGCACCTACGCTTTATTTGCCATGCAAGTGACGAGATCTAGGCGGGATTGAGCTGATGCATCCAAAACCACGTGATCGGCTGGAAACGCTCTGTACACCAAAAAATAGCGCACTGGCGCAGAACATCCAAAGCACATTTATCCGGGGCTGTAATTGCACTGTGTACCAAAATAGAACCGAAGTGGGGCAAGCCTCCTTTTGGCTTGCGCCACCAGCCATTTTGCTCCAGCAGCGGAGTCCCAAGAGTTGAATGCAAGCCGCCGCTCTAAAATAATCGCAGGGAAATGTACTGGCTGTTTAGAAAGGACAACGTTCAGACATCCATTCCACCTACCTTCCTTTAACTACATTCCTCAAATTCCTTTTCCACTTGGCATGCCGTGGGACGACTTAACATTTATTCCGTAGATTTCACTCTGATAAATTTCATTTGAAAGGGGGCTTCCTTTGTCTACAATAAAAACTCAGGAATCATAGACAAATGAACCGTAGAGGCTTCTGAAGAGAAAGCAGCCCCATACTCCATTTCCATACTCCATTTCCATCAACGTCCCTGTAAAAAGCTCCGCACTTGCAGACCAATGCACTACGGCCCAAGATCATTTGCATAACTCACCATTCTTGAGTTACTTCACATCGCAAGCCAGGCCCCCTAGTATAGGCTACAGCCCTCTAGGAGGATCCCGACCTCTTGTGCGTAATTCTGCACTCTTGAGTCACATCTCATTACAACCCAGGGCCCCTAGTGTAAGGAGAATTCTTCTCTAGGAGGGTCCCGACCCCGGCTATGCGGATTGAGAAGAATTCTTATCGACTGTGCTGTGGAGGGTCCCGATCCCGGCTATGCGGATTGAGAAGAATTCTTATCGACTGTGCTGTAAATGATGAGAATACATCATGACCCCCTCTAGGAGTATCCCGATCCCGGGTAGGCGTATTGAGATGTCTTCTCGACTGTACTATCCCGATCCCGGCTAGGCGTATTAAGATTTCTTCTCGACTGTGCTATAAATTATAAGAATACACCATGACCCCCTCTAGGAGGATCCCGATACCGATTGACGGACTGAGGGTAGAATTTCTTCTCGACTGTGCTATAAATAATGAGTATACACCATGACCCCCTCTAGGAGGATCCCGATCACCGCTACCGTGGGCTGACCGAGGAGAATTGCTTCTCGATTGTGCTCTTCCAACGAGAAAATATCACCTCTTCTCAACAGGTTGGGGGGCCGGGGGGTGGGGGGAGGGACGGAAAGGTTCTTATCTAGGAGAGCCGGGTCCGCATCGTCCGGGTACTGAGAAGTCTAATCCAGAAGTCATCCTGGCCAAATCTTCCGTAACGGCCGCCCCGTCCGTGTACCCGTCGCTAGAGGAATTCTGGCGGTGGAATTTCTGGCGGTGTAACAGTCCTGCCATGGCAAAGGAATTTCTGGCGGTGCCTCGAGGGCCAACCACGCGATCTGTTTCAAGGAAAAAGCTTTCCATGGAGCTTCCAAACCAGCAAAAACCCGGGCCGCCGAGCAATTTTTCGTTAGAATAAGATGTACCAATAGCTACCGACTGGACACCTCATCCGTTCCCAAATCTGTCGTAACGGCCGGCCCATCTGTGTTCCCTTCGCTGGATGATTTCCTTGTTATTGTCGAATAACCCTTCGACCATTCCAAGGGATGCATTTTACATTTCTAGCGGTTCCCCAAGGGGCACCCATACCATTGAGGGTTTCCAGGGGCCAAGTCCCACTAGATGGTGTTCTTCATTTCTGGCCATGGATCTGTGTATTCCAGCCACAACCGGCGGTCAAGAATGCACAACACTACTGGGACCGGGCCCAAGGAGGCTTCTAAACCCCTAAAAACGCTGGCCAACCAAGGTATTCACGATTAGAAGAAGATTCAGCAAAAGCTACCGATCGGACTCCTCCCATGGATGCCGAACAGCCGCGAAGACCCCTCCATGCAAGCTGAAAGAGATGACACCCACCGTCTCCGCCTCTAGTTACTTTACCGACCATTGTGTCACACGATAAAATTGTCACCCACCTCCTGTCGCCAACAATGGACGATAACACAGCCTCGAAATTTCTAGGTTGTAGGCACAAGGTTACGACAAGTATTCTGCAATCACACAGCAGTAGTCTCACCCTTGCTCTATGCATGATTCAGGGTCTCGCCGCACGGCACACGAAACGAAAACGAAACGAGTGAATCTGCACACCCAAGGTGGCAAAATACACTCGTTACTATTTATAGCAAACCGATGAACCTGGCCATTTTCTGTGGGAAGAGACATTGACTTCGTTTTTCGTTTCGTGTGCCGTGCGCCAACGCCCTCAGTCCCGCCAATGTGCACACGACTGCCAATTTTCCAAATGTTACTTAGTACACCACGCAATACACTTCTCCCACAAGATAGATTCTCACAGACTATAAATTATAAATTGCTACACACTATGAAGTCGCCTAATACACACTACAAACTACTATACATAGTACACACTGTAAAGTCGCCTAATACACACTACAAACTACTATACATAGCACTCGAGATCAAGGCCTTCACTTCTCATCCATTTGGCAGCGTTGGCGCCTTGAAATTTCAGGATGGGGATCGTGATCGCCTGTAATTGGAGGCCAAAAGGAAGACCCTGCCTGTCCTGTGAATTCACGAACCATTGGTTCACGCAATATCGATGCACAGACGGTGTTACGTCACACACTGAGGCGGCTCAAAATACAGATTCGAGAAAATATAATTTCGACACGTCTACGCAAAAACCCAACGCGACCTCGGAATGCGCAGGGCAGTCGAGCGCCGGCCTTTTCCATGCCAGTGCCACATGCACCACAGCTTGCCAACCCTCCGCCCAGCCGAGGTACCGCCAGAACCACCAACTCCGAACGCATTCGCTGCGGTGAGCGCAGTCCCGCTGGCAACTGCTTTGGCCCCCAACCGACCACACCAACTCCCCCCGGGGAAAGATCGGCGGGTACAGCGCCTCCCCTCCAGCCCCTCCAGCTCCGCACCGGCAAAGACCGTAACCCGCCTCAGCTCTCTCCTCCTAGCCCTCCCACCGTCTCTCGCAACTTGAAATCCCCTCTACTTAGAGTCAGTTCCCACTACCCTGGTTTTATTCATTTTTCACCCTCGATTACGAAGATCAACGGTCAGAAATGAACAATACGGGCTATTGGGATCTGGCTCTCCCTCCGTCTCTCGCAACATGAAAACCCGTCTACTTAGGGTCAGATCCCACTACTCTGGATTATTCATTTTTCACCCTCCATAACGAGGATCAACGGTCAGAAATGATCAATAAGGGCAAGTGGGATCTGGCCCTTACCCTCCATACACACACATATACACACTCTCTCCTTCGGTAGGCATCATCAATAACCATGCCTTTTTTTTTTTAAGACACGGAACCCCCCATCACCTGCCAAACACGGTTGTAAACATATCCCTTAGCTGTCTCTGTTACTGCCATAACCTCCTGGTCATCGCTGTCCACATATCCTTGACTCGAAGCTCTGAGAAAGCTCCGAGAAACAACGCAGACGAGGGAGATGGGTGTGGGAAAAAACGGGTTCTTTATTCGCGTAAGAAGACATTTCATTTCAGATAAAAGGGAGGGGCGCGCCCGTTCTTCATGGCATGCTCGAGGACGAGGGGTCTGTATTCGCACAGAAAGAAAAAAGCAGGATAATGAAGAATCAAGGGGTAGCAGGGGAAGGGTAATAAGGGGGTTGGGATCCTGTATCTTCGTTCTCTCTGGGTAGTTCTGATGAAGGGGTCGGAAGCCCATTGAAGGTGAGAGCGAGAGCATACTGGGAAACTGGGTGCTTCCGAAGGAGGTGCATGCATTCGCAGAGAGACTGAAGAAGCGAACGACAAAATGCAGACGGAGACAAATGACACGGTAGCAGGAGATTAGAAGACGATCAGAAGACGATCAGAAGACGACGATCCGTTTTCTTAACTCTTTCAAAACCTCTTGTTGACCCTGTTTCTGAACGTGTTTCACTCGTTTTTAACCCTGTCATTTCGTCCGTTGCCGGCGCTTGAGGAATGGCGGGGAAGGTACTCAAGATTCGCAGAGAGCGTGGTCAAGAAGCAGATGACAAAACGCACACGGGACCAAATGACACGGTAGCAGCGGAGACGAGGACGACAATTCCTTTTCTTAACCCTGCTTTTCTGAACGTGTTTTACCCGTTTTAACTATCATTTGGTCCTTCGCCGCGCCCGGGGGATGGCAGAGCGTGTATGCTCAAGCTCACTAACTGAAGAAAAGAATCCCCAAACTACAAATCACGGGACGTAGGAGAGAAGGAGAGCGAGTCGTGAAGGAGAGTAGACGAAGAGGGACGGAGGAGAGAAGGAGAACGAGTTACGAAGGAGTAGACGAAGAGGGACGGAGGAGAGAGGGAGAGCGAGTTATGGAGGAGAGTGGACGAAGAGGGACGGAGAGAAGGGACGCAGAGAGGGAACACGATAGTGATCTCCAAGAGGAGAGGTTGCTAATACGTTCCGCTGTGTTTTGTTTTGCTGGCGTGCTCCACATAACAAGTCAATCCATTCTTTCCAAGATCTTTCCCTTAATTTTTTGGCGTTCACAAGAGTCAGTAATAGATCTTGATGCCCATTAGAACAGATCATAGACCTTTGATGCGGGAGATTCTTTTGCACTGCGTGCTCATTTCAAATCCGGGCCTGGGCAACTAATGGCAGACAGAGGGCAAAAACGGACAACAGCACTAATCATCATCCTCTCCCGGCCAAGTCAGTCATGTCATCGACTTCATGATAAATTGTGAAGGTCAGGACTTTCAGTTATGTACCGCCGGGGTCACCATGAATCCCACACAATGGCTATCAAAAGCAACCACGAAACCCTCCTGAAGCTACCGACCTAGCTGGGCCGCTTAGATAAGAGAAGACGATACGAAACCTGGTTCATGACCGAGTGATAGACGTTTAATCCATCAACACTGGTAGGTAGGGGAAACGAGACGATGCTGAACGCCGTTCAAGACCCAAGTAATGAGCATTGATCGCCAGTACACACTGGCAAGTGAACAACACGATTACGAAACTGCTACATGAATGACTTGTCCTCCATTTGATGCCAAATCCATGAGAAATCACATGAAATTGGAGCAATACGATCTTTTCCACTCTCCATGTTATCATAATGAGAAATCAAATGGAAATCGATACCAAATCGATGAGAAATCACATGCCAAACAGATACATGAACGACCTTTTCCACTCCCCATGATGTCATAGTTGCTGATTTTGCACGCACACATGGAAAAATTGGCATGCAATCACTTCTTTTGGCATGCATATACGACGGTGAAGAATAGATACGAAGATGTACGGCATGCAATCACTTCTTTTGTTCTTCTGCTCCCAAGCCGAACAAAATTCCAACATCAGAAGCAGCAGCATATTACTTCATACTGCGAAAAAAGAAATCGACTGGACAACTTCCAGAGATCAAAAAATTTCAAAACACGCCGCAAGAAACAAGGCCGATATAAGCGATCTTACACTTTCACAATGCCCTCGTTCATATCAACGTCTCATCCTACCCACAACGTTCTATCTCCAAACATAGCGAACCCCAAACCACTTAGAAAACAAGCTCATGGGGCTTCATGCCGCTTTTTAGCGAGAACCGCGCCGAAATGTACGACTTCAAATCGGGAACTTTCTCGATCACTGCCAGTAGCTGCCCATCAACAGCCTTCTGATCGTCCTTCCTCTCCGCAGAGAGCTCCTTCTTTTCCTGCACAGAGCAAGCGAAATACACAAAAATGAGTCCCGAGGTAATAAAATCTCAAGCTCACACAAAGACCCCAAATTACGATACCACGAATTCTGTGATACAGAAGGGGTACAAATGAGATTCCACACTTGATTCGTTACTGATCGCTATCATACAAAAGCGAAAGTATGCTGTGTCAGTAGACAGCATACCAGCGACCAGCAAAAAATTAATAGCGGAACTCAACTTCTAAACACTCGACAAGGCCTTGCTTTCCCCGCCCTCTGTCGGGAACGCACATAGGGAGCCATATATGGAGGCGACAATACCGATCTAATAAGGACCACCACCCTTATCGTCTCTCCCAGACCTTGAGAAACCGGCGAGACTCTGCCGACTATACTACAACCCTAATCTAAGCATTGCTTTCCACGTCTGGAGGATTCTACTAAACAAAATTCATAAACGAAACCGAGTATCAATCATAGACATTGCAAAAAAAATCACCAGCCTCCCTGGCATCGAGCATTTCATACAGAACAAGGAAGGTTGCAAATTGTCGCCATGAAATTCGACCCTACGAACCCCACAACTTCATCTTCTTTCCTCTGGAGGGCGGATCTCTACAGTCTTCGCCAGAAAAAAGTGGTCCGGTTACTTCGTTGTATTTGGGCCATGTTCCGTCCAGATGCATCATAATGACCCCCAAGTCCTATTACCGTGTCCGTTTGTTTCAAATTCGCAGGTCCGGACACATGACGTGGGCCCAACGCCCTCCCTCTCTCTCAGCCCAGTTCTCTCCCCTCTTTCTTTGCCTCATTTCAATTCGCAGGTCCGGACCCATGACGTGGGCCCGACGCCCTCTCTCTCTCTCTCTCTCTCTCTCTCTCTCAGCCCAGTTTTCTCACAGCTTTCGCCCGGTCATTATAGCTGTATTTGGCACAACTTTCGGTCCAGATGCAGCCATAATTACCGGGCGTTCTATTCGGCTGAAGACGGTAGTCGCAATCCCAAGCACGGCGGCGACATGAGCATATGACACTTCACAATGACGATTCCAAGAGCAGCAGTCATACCGACGAGTTTCTATTCATTTGAACTTCACCTCTGTTCCGTAATAAGGTTGAGAAATGAAAAGTTATTTTCGATCGACTCCCATGGATTTAGCAAACCCTCTATCTCGACCCACCCAAGCCCACTTCCTTCTTCACCTTTTTCTTCCACTCAAATCCCATCGCCCCACCGAGCCCACTTCTCTCTTCACCTTTTTCTTCGACTCAAATCCCACCCAACTGGTTGCAATCCCAAGCACGGCGGCGACATGATCATATGACACCTCACAGTGACGATTCCAAGAGCAGCAGTCACACCGACGAGATTCTGTTCTTCCGAGCTTCCCATCTGTTCGGCAATGTTGTTAAAAACTTACAAATTCTTTTTGAGCGACTCGCAAGGATTTCCTATACAGGAAACGTCATACCGACGAATATCATTAACAGGTCACACATTCTCTGCGAGTAGAAGAACAGATTGAGGTCCATGACGTTACCTCGTCAGTCTGGAAGAATTCGTTTTCGCCTCTCTTCTTCTTGGGCTTCTCCTTCTTGAAGTACGCATCGCTATACTTGGACACATCGACAGACGAAATGTCCATCTTCGTCGACGTCGCAATCACGTAGGCCTGGTTCACTCGTCTCAGTGGGACTCCATTCACCTTGAACGGGCCTTTGGAAAAATCAGCGCAAGGAAGAGCAAACGGAGTACGAAACAACAATCAGTCTTCTATTGGAAGACAAAACACTCAAGACATCAGGATCTAAATACGTGTCGAGAGGACCAGGTTGCCAGTTGCAAATCGCAACGTCGGGCAATAACCGGTCACACCAGCCACATATGTGGTGAAAACAGATGCCATAAGACTTCTTCTCGAACACAAACAATGATCATTTTGATTCCAATACCGCATGAACAATTCTCAGCTTAAACGCGCAAATTCCCCGGCGCGCTTCGGCCACAGCGCTGCACTCCTGGTAATCCTCAGGAGGCTACTCCCAAAATCAGCTTGCGTCACCACCTGACATTCTGACCCAAGTATTCCGAGTTATCTATAGATGTTTAGTTCACTCGATGAAAGCATTGTACCGTCTGTCATAAGGAATCCAAGTTCTGCTCATTTCAGTCAACCACCAGCTCCACCGACGCACGTTTCCAAACAGACGCCACTTATCTGACATATGCATAGATGTTTAATTCACAAGTAGATGGAAGTATTGTACCATTTGTCATAAGGGACCCAGTTCTGCTCATTTCATTCAACCACCAGTTCCAGCTAAGCACGTTGCCAAACAAACGCCACCTTCGGACTGTAGCGGGCAAAGAGACTAAGGGGTTAAGAAAGAGCACTACAATTCCGACAAAAATTCCAGATCATCCACATTGACAGAACGGCGCCATATCTGTTCCCGTTCATTCTCTTAAGCCGCACAAAAGGTACACGCCAAAACTGCTTCGCAATCAGAAAAGAATCAAGACCCCCGTCAGTCAAGAACGAAATCGACTACTCCCTCTCTCACTCGTTGTCCTCGATACGACCGCTTTCATTTGTTTATACCGAGACCTACCTCCCCGATTATTTTCACAGCACGATAACAGTTCTCTCTCGCAACGACTCTCTCTCCCCACATTGAACTCGTCAGTACTTTAGCCGTCACTCACTTCCACAAACGTTTCAAACGCTTACCCTAACATCCTAAGCGTAATTCACCCATTCCTTCTACCTCATGCGACCCTCCATCCGCGCCCCGATTGCCAGCACAGGGCTCGCTTCTTCCACCTCCTACGACACTACCCCCCCCTTCGCCCTGGTTGCATGCAGAGGCCCTCGCTCTACCTTCTAGCGAGTACGACAATCCCTCAACCCCGCCCTGATTACCTGCAGACGACCTCGCACATTTCTGCGAGTTTGATCAGGCCACGAAGTCCCCACCAGATTTTAAAGAGCGTGTGGTGAATTTTATCTTGTGACGAGGACTCGTGCAAACCGGTTATTGAAGGCGAGTGGTGCAACGACGCCCTTCATCAGCACTTCCTCACCACGTTCTCAAGCGTTGGATTTACGTGTACAATACCTTCGTACACCGCCAATGATCACAAGCTTTTGGCCGTTTGGCCGATGGTTGATCAGCAAAGTACAGAAGCAGAAAAACAACACCGAGCACTCTGCGAGTTTACCAAGGGCATGGAATCCTAACTAGGTTTTTAGACAGTATGTGATGCACTTTGATTTGTGCTTAGGATCCATGCAAACCGGTCTTGAAAGGCGAGTACTGGAACGAGGCCACTTATTCACCTCACCACGTCCTCTTCCAAACGGATTCCCAACCATTCAGTTCTTCAGCTCAACTTCATTTCTCCGTTTCTACATTATACCCTCCTCCCACATCCCTGCTCTTCCTTCCTGTCTCTCGTTTATGCTTCCTACCACCCCCCGGCTGCACAAATTAGGGTTCTTTCAATATGAAAAGGGAAGCTTGAGAGAATGGTTTTAGACTCACCGGTCACCAGCAACAAGCCAGATTCAAGCTGCTTGAGGAAAACCACGCGCTTGCCCTTGAATCTGCCTACAAGGAGAATCAAAACCGTCCCGGGTGTGATACTCGCTCTGTGGAAGAAAAGAAAACCACAAAGAGGACACAAAATGCAATCAGCAAAGCTCCCTCACAATCACGCGCGTTGTCCACATATTCATCATCTACGGTTTGCTGAATATTCACCCCGATCATCATTCCCCATGGCAAGCGTTATCGCAAGCCGTGCACATGTGCTAGGACGTGGCGAACATGCAAATCGCTCTCATTCTCCATAGCACAGTAACATGTCAGGGTACATTTAAGAAAACGTATACACATACATACGTGCTTACAAATACAAAACTGCTGGATCATATATCATCACATAAATATCAAAGCGCAAAAGTGAAAAAAACAAAAGGAAAACAAAAAAGACATCAGTTCATTTTTTATCTTCTTCCTTCCAACTCACCCTATTCAGAACCCCTTGCGTACAAGGCCGCCCACATATATAACTACATTATTATTAAGTATATGTGCGAAGCCAATCAGTTCGCGAACAAGTTTGCACGACTTCCCTGCGTCCGGCAACTTCGCTATTCCAACATCCTCAACTACTCGAACGTCAGGGTACGTCAGAATATTACCTTAAAGAATATTACTGTAGGGAAGAACTTCCCATGGTTTGAAAAATTTTTAACTTGGGATATAAACAAAGGAAAGACAGAAACACTGGGGACGACAAGAACACAGGCATGTCCCAAAAGGGTCGTGTGCATTTTGCTCGCCGTAGAGAGTACAGCCAATTACGTAATTATGCTGCCATTCACGGGCAACCACGTACAAGACAGACTGCATCCCAGAGGACGGGACGATCAAATCAAAACCTGAGTACTTGGAAGGAAAACGGAGCATAGGAAACAAGAACAAAAGACCTGAGGTTCTTGAAGGAAAACGGAGCATAAGGAAGGAAGAAGAAAAGACTCCTGGACAAGTCAAGAAGCCGGCATGTCTCATCAGAGAAATCCTTTGCATTCTGCTTGCCGTAAAGAGCAGCCCGTTACCGAAATTCCGTCATTCGCGGGCAACCACGCTAAATACAAATTAGGCCGCAGAGGAGCGGAGGAACGCAAAGTTGGTCATTCGTGGGGAACCACGCTCAAGACAGACTTAAATCCAGAGAAACGGAGGCACGAATGACGAACGAATCTGGGTAGGAAGGAGTATATATAGGACGATGAAGTACGGCACGAATGACTAACGAATCTGGCGGGTAGGAAGGAGCATATATAGGAAGATGGAGTAAGCGCAAGAAGAAGGATGGAATAAAAAAGACCGATTCATAAGGACTGTTGTGCTAACGAGTAAGGAACTATACTATAAGCTTGCAACCTCCCCCGTCATCCATTACTTTAAGATCCTTCTGCCGGCAGACCCAGTCCACCCCTTTCACAGTATATCCCTCCACTGACGCTTTTCATTCCCAGAGACTCTTTTCAACCTCGACCGACTTTAAAGGAATGGGTATAGGAATATTAAGGAAATATAATCCAACTTGCAACCTCCTCCGTCACTCATCATTATACGATCCTTCTTCCGTCATACTCAATCCGCACCCTTCACCCTAGTCTCCTCCATCGACGATTCTATTCATACTTCGGCACTCTTTTCAACCTCTCTCACCATGGGTTTTTTTTCCGCCCAAATTCGTCTCATTGCTTAGGTAAATAAGAAAAATGATGGCAAACCGCGAAGGAGATCCTCCAGTGATAAGATTTAGGGCAAGACGAAGAGAGAAGAGGGAAGTGTAATTCAAAGAGATCGAAGGGAAAGATGAGAGGGGGCACTCGGTCAAGAGCTGCCAGACGAAGCTGAGAGCGACATAAGAGAGCGTCACAAAGAAGGAGGCGGCGAGATACCTGAGTTTGGTAGGCTTCTTTGCGGCCTTCTTCTTGTGGAGCGGCTTGGGAATGTCGTCAGCTGGGTAGAACTTAGGCGGCTTCTTGGGTGCTTCCACGACAGCCTTCTTGGCATGAACAGGGAACTTGCCGCCGTTCTTTGCTTTGATTGCCCACAACCCTCTCTTGCCGTACATGACGGAGCGCGAAAACTTCCTCACTCCCTTCACCAACTCCGGGTTCCTCGAAGCACGAGGCTTTGCCTCACTAGACTTCGCCATCGCTGCAGACTGACCTGCGATGACGCGGAGCGGCAGTGAGGTCGAGTGTGAAACGCAGCTGAGGAAGCAGACGAGCTACACCACTCTCGCCCGAACACCACACTGCTGACTCCCAAAAGAGAAAGATGACGTTTTCCAGAGAATGGTTATGGAGTAAGCTCACCACGATCCGCTGCCAGGGTAGGCCGGCGCGCAGGCCATTCGACGGCCCAGAAGGGAACTGTTCAGTGGAATCAGGCACTCTAGTGGGAGTCGCAATAGGGGCCGCGAAGGAGGCCCCTTAGAGGGTCCCCGTGCTGATACTTTGGGGTGGGCCTCTACCCAATTCGTCAGGGCCCTCCGCAAAGGCTGTCGCTCAGAGATCAACAGGAAGTTCGCGAAATCTGAAGGTTGACATTTTTCCTCAGATTTCCAACAGTCGGCACTCGCAGCGAGGATCCGCTTGCGTACGATGAGCGCCGGGGGATCAATGAAAGGGATTCGTCCGTGACGTGATGCTGCAAAAAGTGCCCCAAAGCGGAGGGGCCTCTACTTTCGTCGGGGCATCACAAAGGAACCCCTCTACATTGACTCGCCTTTCGTTCTTAGTACGATTTTTTTTATTTTTATTTTTTTTTCTATATTCTTCTCTCAAGTTCTGTTTCTTTTACCTTCCACTACCTACTCCTAAGACTATCTAGAGGGGACCCCTGCAAGCATAGTTTCCTCTCTCTGTGAAGGGGAGATTTCATGTTGCCCTTTGCCCCTAATGGTTAGGGTATAGGGTTGGGGCCGCCAATGGGGGTCTGGCTAACACAGACCGAGACCTGCCAGTAGTTGTACCTCCCTTTCTCATCGTCCCCCACCCTTCATCAAGTACCAACACTCTCCCACACACCACACACAACCCACTCGCGCTCACACTCACCCGTGTTGGTCATAGACCCCGCTAATACCGATCAGGGGTATCCAGAGAACTATCACAGTCCGTTGGCACTAAGTGCGCYGCAGGCGGCCATGGGGCTTGAACCCACAACCTCCTGAATGCCACTTCCATACCTAACCAACTCAGTTATGTCATCCCATACAACGGTTTTTTTTTTTTTTTTTTTTTTTTTTTTTTCCAGGCCTTTTTTATTGTCATTATAGTATCATGGGGAACCCCGTAGCAGCCACCTCCATGCTCAAGCCTCTAATGAGGGAACATGCGGGAGCTGCACCCACCAGCAAGTGCGATACCTGCTACAGCAGGTGGGCGATACCGGCCAAGGGTCAGCCGGTAGCATCAAGACCGAGCTTCTTCAATGGGCTAGTCACTGTGTCTCCCCCCCCGGTCCCCTCCCTCTATGAACACCAGCAGTCTTTGCTCAATGCCACTCGGGGGGACCAACAGATCCCATACAACATTTGTCAAGGTTCGAGAAGGAAAAAAAAAAAAAAAATTGTCACAAGGATGGGTCAAATTATAGCACGTGCAGCTCCCCACGAATAGACCGAAGCCATAAAAAGGCGGCCTCCAACTGGGAGGGGTGCACTTATCAACCTCCGTGTAATTGGTCGACAATAGATATTTATTATTATAAAAGATAAAGCAAAAAGAACAAGATATATACAACTGATGGACAGGGCTAAAGAAGACAGGCTTGGGAAAAGGAGTATGGCAGGTCAAGCAAAGGGTTGATCCAATTTGGGGCTTTTGTGGAGGTGTTATCAGAGGCCTGAGAAAAGTGCAACATCGAGTGCATCCAATCTCATGTACTGTCAAGATGGAAACAAACACGCACAAACAGACACAAAGAAAAACGAAAAACATATTTGGAAAAAACTCAATGCTTATTGTATCAATGGACGTTGCCCATTCATAAATAAGTTGTTCATTTTTCATTCTCACGCGGTTGTAAATCTCACTGATGTGTACTTCCTCCAAAGTTTCCATTGAATTCCCACATAAATTTTTTTTTACCCAATAGTATATCCCTCATTTTATTATATCAATTATTCTTTTAAACTGCATGTGATAACGGAAAAGTGGAAGAGGAAGGATGCAAAAAGGGGGGGGGGGGAAAGTGAGAAACGAAAAATACATTTATTGAAAACCTTAGACTATGACAGAGAGGAGGATTGGGGAGGAWAAACGGAGGAAAAAAAAAAAAAAAAAAAAAATCGTAGGSGGGAAGGGGGGAAGATGAGTGAGTGCGAGAGAGAGAGGGAGAGGGGGRGAGAGGGAGTAAGTGGTRACAAGTGTTGAGGGGGCAAAAGGGGATATATGCCGAAAGAATGACACAATAAAGAAGGACACACAAATATGTAGATAACAAATTGAAGCATTGATTAAATAAAAGAGAAGAAGGATTAATATCTCGAAAAAGCACAATGTTATGATAGCTAATGTGGAAAGAGAATGACGGGTTGTATTTGTCTGTCTATAATCACACCCCAAAGAGAGAAGGTTGACCGACCTAAGAAAACCAAAGTGTCATTTTAACCATACTTTACATCAATTTGTAAAGTACACTTCTTACTAACATATTGTAAAAAAAAAAAAAAAAAAAAAAAAAAAAAAACCATATAAAACATCGAGCCAAATGTGCACTTTCATGAAATTTCAACAACATTTTAATTTGTTCATTTTTATAATTTTCACCACTGGCCAAAACAACCATCTTCAGGAAACCAACAAACACCAAAGTTGGCACATGCAGACACCTTAACCAAAAACCAAACAGGGCAAAAAAAAAAAAAAAAAAAAAAAAAAAACATGATCCCCACTATACTTTTCAGGGTGGTGAAGGTTACTCTAGAGGTGAAAAGTGAGGGTACCTGTTAACCATTTATGACCCCAAACGTTATGTCCACTAAAAATTATTGAATACTCTAATGTTTATTAAATTTAATTTGCCTTAGTTATTATAAAACATCATGTGTGAGTTTCTAAAATACGATACATTATTGTCAAAAGTTTCATCTTTCTTATAAAGCTCATAATTATTTTTCTTACTTTTTACTTAGCACTATAACATTTTCCTTACATACAATAATTTTTGAAATATGTATTATTACATACATGATTTTTAAAATAAATATTATTCTCGTTTGTGCATTATTGTCCTTCACCATTGTTCCTTGTGACGTATCTCTTTATCGTTTTCCTCCCTTTCTTCAATACTATCCACTTTACTTCTCAAATTTTTATACGATTATATGCTCAGTGCTTCATGTTCCCCTTCACTCTCTTATCCCTTTCTTAACATAAAAATAATCACTCTTCGTCACACTATTACTTTCTTTGTTATGCGGTTTGTTTACCTCACCGTTTTCGTTTTCCCCCGCATATCTTTCCTCTTCCTTTTTCTTCCATAATCATACTAACGCTCATTCGACTCTTACACAATGTTGCCATTCAACTCCCACCGAGTTACCACCTCCGACCATGGTTGTACTGTTTTTTTTTTCCTGTAATAAATATGTTTATTAAAATGGCAAAAGGAACCGAAAAATGAGCAAGCATATGTAATAGCATATTTTTTTTTCATTTCAAAATAATTCGCAAATGGATATTCATGCGGTTGGCAATCAACTTTTCCCTTGGTGATTTTGGTTACCTCACCACCATAAATAGTACAGCTTAGTATTAAAAACTTATAATTTAGATAGTACCGACATAAAATCACCGTTGTTCTTCACGCCGCTTTTCATATGAACATTCCTACAATCATGCCCCCCTTATGATGTACCATTTCCAATCATTTCTCTTTGATTGACCTTGCTTCCTTATTATCACAACTCAATGAGAACAACTCTCTCTCGTTTTTGTAATTTACAAGCACCCTTAAGAATGTTATATTTTTATCTTTTCCGCATATCATATTCCTCCAAGGTTTCACTCGCGCTTCAAACTTTCAATTAAACAACCCATCTCACCCTCACAACATTGCTACATGTACAAATTTCGCATTTTTCCGTCTCTCTGTCTCTCTATCTCCCTCTCTCTAACTCTCTCTCTCTCTCTATATATATATATATATACATATATATATACATACATATATATATATATATATACAGGGTTACCTGACCGAACGTTCGGGGGCCCCCGGGCTGGCCCCCGGACGTTCGGGAGTTCGGGGTCCCGTTCGGGGGCCGAACACCTCCAGGTTCGGCCCCCGCCAAAATCATTTTCGGGGCCTAAGAATAATTTTTGTTTCCTGATTTTTTTTTGTGGGTTCTCTATGATGTAACCTACACGCCTATAAATTTTGAAGTCATTCTGTTGAGCCCAAAAAACATTAAAAATCGTCAAAGATGGGGGTGTCTAAACGTGCTCGCCCACTCACTATTTTTTTTTTTTTTCCACTTTTAACTTTTTGTTTTCACTTTTAACTTTTTGTTTTCACTTTATTTTGGGACCTAAAAACTTTTATTATTTTTTGAATTTTTTTTAATGAGTTATTGATTATATAAACTACATATCTGTAAATTTTCAGGGCATTTGTCAATGTCAACAAATAATTAAAAATCGGCAAAGATGGCAGTGTCGAAAAGGTGTTGGCACACTCACTCATTTTAATTCTCTTTTTGTTTTTTCTTATTTTTATCATAGTGTTTATTTTTTGTATTTCATTTTTAATTCAAATTTGGTAAAGATTTTAGATGTAGTGCATAGACGAATGTTGTTTAGTTTATTTTTTTCCATAATAAATTATTTTTTTTTAATTTTTTGAAAACTTTGTTTTTTTTGTTTTTTTGTTTTTTTGGTCCGCGTTCGGCTCGAACGGCCGAACGCCTTCCGAAGGGGTCCCGTACGTTTGGGCATTCGGGTTCGGGCGTTTGGCCCGTCCCGAACGCCGGCAAACCTATATATATATATATACAGGGTCACCAGCCCGTACGTACAAAGGTCCTCGAGCAGACCTCCGTACGTACGGGCGTTCGGGGTCCCGTTCGGGGTCCGAACCCGAAGTCGTTCGGTCCCCGCCAAAAATTATTTCGGGGCCTAAACATAAGTTCTTTTTCTATTTTCTTTTCTGTGCGTTCTCTATGATGTGAAGTATCTGCCTATAAATTTTGAAGTCATTTTGCTAGGCAAACAAAAAACAAAAAATCGCCAAAGATGGTGGTCTCAAAACATGACTATTTTGTTTTTTTTTCACGTTTTACTTTTTGTTTTCATTTTATTGCGGGGCCTTAATAATTTTATTTTATTTTGATTTTTTTTAAGTGAGTTTTGTATCATGT